CACGACCTGCTCTGCCTACTGCCCCCGCGACCCGACCCCGGATAAGCGGAAGAGAATGGATGGATGGATGGACTTTTCAACCATATTTAGACCATAAAGAGACGACTTAATAGAGACGTCCTTTCAACTACCTGAAAAAGGCGGCATTTCACCTTTCTCACGTCTCAACCAAATTTTGACGTATGGCAAAGACGTCTTTTCAATGTCTTTTCAACCTGTTTTTGCTGGGTGGGCTGGCAGTTGGTGTGAATCAGTTGAAAATAAGTAAATAAACAAACTACAATGACTATTTCCATATTACATTTTAAAAGTACAATATTTTACCTTCTCACAAATGTAAATCCCTGTAAATGTTGGATGGTCAAAAAACAACCTATTTTCAGCAACTATATTAGGGCTAAATCTAGGCTATGACAGACCGACCAGATTTAGCCAAAAACAACAACATCTAAATCAGGGGTTCTCAACTGGTATCACCCTGGGACCCACATTTTCCCATGGTTCATAAAGTTGTGACCCACTTTTTTTAGAATTCAGTATTCAATATTCAATATAGTTTCCTGTGCAACATGCATTTCAGAGCATATAACCATGCATAGTAACTGGACCATGACAACTACATGTACAAAACTGCACAAAATAAATAAGGCCACAAAACAACATGTTTTCACTCCATTTTGAGCAAATTAATAAGAAACTAAGGAGGACCATGACAATTGCATGTACAAAAGTGAATGAAGTAAATATCAAAACTACTCGAAAATAAAGTTTTGGCCTAATCAGGTCATTTGTTGAAGTTAATGAGACAGTTGGTCACGTTCTCTACTCTTAATTAGGGTTTCAAAGTCTGGGGTGACAGTTGACAGATCATGCTCAGTGTCCAACCTGCTTTGACTTGAGCTGGACCAAGGTAGAGAAGCCACTTTCCCACAAATAGGTTGTTCTGAATGGTAAAATTGTTTTAACTGCAAGAATGGCGAGGGATGGATACTCAGCCATCACATTGCTGACCAGAAGTGGGAAAGGCTTACCTCCCCAAATCAGTTTTTCAGCGTCTGATCACATGACAGCTCCACCAGCTGATGCACTTTGTGATGTTTTCCATGTTGATACTGAAGGGGTCACATATCCAGTCAATGGTTGTAACTTTGTAAAATCGTGACAACACCTTGCACCTCAACAGCCAGCGGACTTCTGAGTGCGCGCAGGCTCCGACGGGCTGGAAGTGGCGAGACACACAGGCAGCTTTTGGCTACTAAGACCAGTTAAGGTGTTTACGTTAGTGCTGGCAGCACCGTTTCCCCGGTTGCAGCAGTGGGGTGGGAAGCTTATTGTTCAGATGGAGGGGTGCGGGTGCTGAGCATATGGTCCGGCTGACGGTCACAGTGCTGTACTGGCGGCAGCGGGGGGACTATTCGGAGATCAAAATTGATATCCCGATTTCAGCACAACGAACGAATAGTTGGCTATTCGGCTACTCGGGTCCAACCCTAGTACGAAAATCTACATTTTCAATACTCCTGGTCATATTTGCGCTTTGCCATCCTGCATCCCAACATCAACACAAACTTAAAATGAACGTCAAGCAAACTATGGTCACCATGCGTGTCAAAATAAAGGTTTTTCTTCAAAAAACAAAACAAAAAACAAATTCAACCTGAGACGCACATTATATATTATTTGTTTTTGACGAGCTGTCCGTGACCCACTTTTGGGTCGCAACCCATCAGTTGAGAATCACTGATCTAAATTACGTTGGGTGTTTGTTGGGCACGCTGGACAGGGAGAACATGCAAACTCCACGCAGAAAGATCCCAGGCGTCCTAACCGGGAAGTGAATCGGGGATCTTCTAGCTGTGCTTACCACTGAGCCACCGTGCAGCCCCTGATGAACACTTTACTGTTATTGTTCTTGTTAGTTGTTCTTTAATGTATTAAGTTATTGATCTTGTTAAATTGTCAAGTTCTGGGGATCATTTCCTTTGTACACAAATATAATCTTCTTGGTCACTTATGACTGGGAACACAAAGGGTGACACAACAGGTGGTACTTTGTGTGACTATAAAAATTTTAAATGTTGTCAAAACAAATGTCCTTGGTAACTTTGACCCAAAGTAGTCTGTGATAAACAATATACTATGCTTCATCTGAATAATTCTTATTGTCAAAATAATCCAGAAATCATTTTTTTTAAAACTCGAATTCAAGATATGTAAGATCAGATACATAGAGGCCATACATAACAAATAGAAGCTCAAAACTGGAGTTAATAATAATAATAAAAAAAATCTAACACAACAAAGAGTGTTGTTGTATGCAGTATTACAGTTTTTATGACGAGTCTTAATGGATCGAACATTTTTGACTGGGAACAAAAAACTGTTTAACACGAAATTAACACAACATGAGGGTAAATAAAACAAATAGTGTTTCTGGGGTAGTACAGTGGTGCACTGGTGAGCATCGTCACTGTGCTCGTCCCACAGTCCAAAGAGACGCATAGTCGGTCTATTGGAGATTCTGAACTGGTCATAGGTGTGATTGCAAGCATGCATAGTTGTCTCTTTGTGTTAGCCCTGTGATGACCTTGAGACCTGTCCAGGGTGTACTGCACCTCTCCCTCAATGTCAGCTGTAGCTCTCTACTGGATAAACTAGGTTTAGCTAAAGGGTGGATTGATGGAACGAGTGTTTCCTAACATACCTGTTCAAAAATCATTCATTCTACTGTAAATTTAACTGTCTTTGCTCAAATAATTATGCCAAGATATGAGTAAATGAGCTTACTATCCAGAATATTTGTTCTTACAGTTGATATTTTTGACCAGGTGACATCTCAACATCCTTATGCTGAGGCCATAGGAGAGCCCTATGTATGGATGGTAGATATAAATAACAAAACAGATGTGGAAAGAGTGCTCACTGCTATACTCAATGAAACTGTAAGTACCTTGAAAACATGATGTCTTGCTTCACTTTACAGTATGCTATTTTATTAATCCTCACATTATTGTCCTGCAACTTACAGTTGTCACTCCAGTCATCTGGTATTATAGTTTTACTTTTTGCACTTTTGCCCATTACAGATTGAGCCCTACCTTCCTTATGAGTTTAGCTGTGAAGGGATGCTCCAGAGGGTCAGCGCACTGGTTGAAAAACAGGTTGGAGAAGTGTGGATTGGGAGGTTCGGAGGAGGGACTGTTTGAAGACTATTTTCCTATTTGTTTATCTTGTTCTCATTTTTGCTTTAGGACTTTTGCTCCAGTACAAGTAGCTGGCCTCCACTGAGTGCACTCCAGGTAGTAAAGGCAGAGGCAGGTACTTCTTGTAAGAAGGCATGCCGGAAGGTGGGACTGATCTGTGAACCTGCATTTTTCCCAAAACTTAACAGGGTCAAGAATCTTGCAAAGTCAGTATACACATTTTTATGTGTACACACATAAATCTGGTCACACAGTTTTGAACTTTCGTGGCTGCTTGTGTTGTAAATTATGGAAAGATGGTATTATCACCTGTAAAACCAATAAAGTTGGGCATTTAACTCTGACTAGACTTGATTCAACTCCAATGAGTCATAGCATAATATCTTTAGAGCTCTGTTTGTTTTGTACAGACATTCTCAAAGCAAGATATCTCATCTTTAGTTAAATTACCTCATTGACCAGTCTTCATTTAAAGTACAGCAAATTATTGCTTATTTTCTTTTGATCCTGTATTACAGATAAAATTAGAGGCAGCTTAGCAAAACTGATAGAATAACCCAAAGAGGGAAATTTGAAACATCTGTAAAACATCAAAAATAAACAGGAAGCCTTTTTAATGCCTTCTGCAGTTTGCTTTTTAAAAAAAACACCAAGTGACCTTTTGAAAAAAGCTAACTGTATAATAAAAAAATTAAAAGTAAGCTTTTCTGCTTAGCCGATTTTAATGGTTTCTGTCAGTGTTCAACATAGCTCAATTGGAAAAAAAATAAAAAGGCTTTAAGAGAAAGATAATATTTAAAACAAAAAAAACAAAAAAAAACATTTTGAAAGCAGGTAGAAACAGTCAGAAGCCCAGCAGTAGTCCCAGTCAAAACTACCAATACCTAATTTGTCTATCCAGTCATCCATCATTTGGACAAGAGCTAGGCTTCAGAGATGGCTGTCATGTAGAAATTACTTTATGACCATATGCAGTATTTGCTGATTATCTCTTTTGTCTTTTTTGTTTCTCTCTACAGTTACAGTGTAGATTGTCAGACATCAGAGTTTTCTGATGGTCATTTGGTGTATCCAGTCTACACAAACAGTACTAAACACTGCCTGTTCCAGTCTGACCCTCTTCTCTTCAGCTGTGTGAGATCGGACGAGTCTCTGATTCGCATCTGTCCCTGTAGGGACTACATTAAGGACCAGATAGCCTTATGCAAGGCATGTATCTAACTGCTGGACAGACAACAGAAACCTGTGTACTGTACAGTATATTGACTGCGTATTACCAAAAAAGTTATGCCTGGGATCAAAGTACAGCAGGACCTCATGTCAACTTAACCATTTCCATGTGGCTTAGCAGCAGGAGGTCTCCACGTTTGATTTTGCCCTTTTCCCAGGTTGGGGGTGGATGTGGGTTTTAACTGAATATGTAGACTAAGAGATCACACATTGATTGTTCTTGGACTTTGGGTGAGGTTTCAGAACTCTTTACTGTAGGACATGAAAGTATAGTGAAGAATGCATCTCTACATTTCTATTCCATTTTGTCACTGTTTGTGTAGAGTGGGGGGCAGGAAAAGCTGACTTGAAGAGACTTTACCCAGTTCAGCTGTGACGACTAAATGCATGACCTTTAGGCATGAATTCACGCTTCCTTAAACACTTTATCTGCCAACCTATTGGCATCAGTCTGTAAGGCTCTGCTCCCAAACGTTGACTAGATAGACGAACCCTCTGTGACGTCACTTACAGGTTTCCTGAACAGCAGTTTTGAAGCTCAGTGTGATGACTCTGGCAACTGCGGTCTTGCCATCCATCCATCCATTATCTATACACCGCTTAATCCTCACGAGGGTCGCAGGGGGGCTGGAGACTATCCCAGCCGACTTAGGGTGAAGGCAGGGGACACCCTGGACAGGTCGCCAGTCTATCGCAGGGCTACACTTAGAGACAGACAAACAAGCACACTCACATTCACACCTACGGACAATTTAGAATAATCAATTAACCTCAACATGTTTTTGGAATAATCCTCCCACACAGTCCAGAAACATGTTGAGGTTAATTGGTGGAAGCAAGCTTGATAAGATAATGAAAAAACAGCAAATTCAATATTAGGAGATGTCAATGCAATAGTAGTAGTGCTTCTTTTTTTAAAAAAATTTAACATTATGTTGTTCACTCATGCATTTTCTACGCCTGAGGTCTATTTGTTTTTATAGGTGTTGGTCGGGAATTTTTTGGGGGGGTTTTCTTTGTTAACCCGTTTATGTTTACCCATACCTAAATTGACACCCTGACTTGCAGCTTGCACAATTGGGATTGGTGCTGAGACGGATTTGGTGCTTTCTGTAATTTTAAGCAAGTTAATTCTACATCTTACATTTTTATAGCCCCATTTCTTTTCCAATTCGTTGCTAATATTTTTGTTGATTGAGTTCCAAAAAAAGAAAGACATGTCTTCACATCAATGTTGATTTAGCAGGATAAAACTTTATTAATCAATAAAACTATTCTTTTTGACAAAGAGATATCTCATTAATGTTCTTTTACATAAATAAATGGCGTTTACATCATCTGTAATACAACTGATGTCATTACTGTACAGACAAATAATAATTCTGTTACATTTTCAGATTTATTGTTTATTTAGTTACATACAGTATTTCCATCATTGTGTTTTGTTTGCATGTGTGTGTCAGTGTGTGTGTGCGTGTGTGTGTGTGTGTGTGGTTGCAATGTATTTGTTACTATTGAAACTGTAAGGGTTTTTACAAGCCCATGCAAAGCCTATAGCAACAGTGAAATGATTAGTATTGCTATAATTTGTGAAACATGGTAGATTGAATGTTTTGATGCTTTTTCTGGGGTGTTAATGGGGAGTCCATTTATCATTACAGCACACCAGAATGATACACGCATTTCAGAAGAGCTGACAAATGATCTCAATGATTTGGCACAGTTCATTATGCTACAGTATTGAACATGTTTCTGAGCTGTTTCAGTGAAATAATGAAACAGTTTCAGATAATGTTCCACTTGCCAATTAAAGAGAGGTTTTATATTGGTGAAATAACAGAAAAATGCATCATCCACGGCTCTGTTTCACAAATCTTGAACCGTGTTGAGAGAAAAGCAAAAAGAGAGAGGGAAAAAAAATCATGTCTGAAATGGACTAAATGCAAATGTAACTGTGGCGATCATTGGATTACAGTCACATTTTACCTTTGTTTTGGCATTTCTTTTTGGCACTAATGCATTACTAAGCAGTATAAGGGAGGCAGGGCTACAAAAAGCAGCACCTGCCCTAAATTTTTATTAGCATGAATATACATGAGAGAAGTGGCATGAAAACAAAACAAAGTGAGAAGAGGAGAGGTAGAAAGGATTTTGTTGCAAAGATCAAAATCACCTCTATTTTATCTGACACAGTAGCTTACTATATGAACAACAGAGCTACAGCAAAAAAGCCTACCATAACTAAGACTGAGTTCCAATGAGTTTGTTCTGTGCCTCATGCAATGGTCTCAGCATGTAAACACTGTGCTTCGCTAGTAGAAGTCATTGTAAAGATTGTCTTCTATGCATTAAAGAGGGGGGAAAGTTACAAATCAGTGTGCTGTTGGTGAGTTGAAGTGGTGTGAGCTGATCCACACCTCCAAATGCATTTTCTTCACACAATGGAACTAAAAATAATGCCAAGAAAGTCGCACCTTGTCCGCTGTGTCGACTCAAAGTTAATAATTACAGTGCAGAGGGAATGTAGGCCTCTTCACAGTCGCTGCCCAAAGCTTTGTAACTGTCTGCTACCGGGGATAAATTTAGACTCTCCCTTTTTTTGGAACCAGACAACTGAATACTAATTAACATTATTGTCATGAGACAACCACAAGGGGGCTCAGTTGCATTATGGATCCACGTTCACTGGACCAAAACAGGCCACAGTTCAGTATAACTCACTTGAGAAACTGAAAATTTGTTGTCATAGGTACATAAAAATCTGTATTAAATAGCATCTATGCATCATTTAGATTCAGTATATTTTGTTTTATAAATCTAATTGTTAATTATTTTTGCATCTGTTATACAAAGTATTCTCCTAAATGATCACAATGAGAATTTTCCTCTAAATTAATGACTTTCAAAGCGTTAGTTTGCTTACAGGTGATCTGAAGTCTGAATTTATGACATCCACATTGTCTAAAGTTCAGTAAAATAACACTGATTCATGCCAGAAGGTTGTTTGTAGCTGTGGTCAGTTGTAACCTAATTTTTTTAAAATTTTCTTTCAAATCAAGTCCTTTTCCATTTCTTTCTAATAAGTGATAGAAGACAAAGTTAAGCTTTGGACAGCAATGTCAGATTACATCCATTCAGAGATGTTCACTTACAGTGCAGAAACTTACAGTAAGACTTTTCATTTGATTTCACCAATTAATCTACAGTAATATGTAAAACAACATTTACAGAATATGCACAATACAGAGTCAACATTTTTTAAGTATACACAACATCGATCAGTCTACTCCCATGTCAGCCATAGAGCACAATGACTATTTGTGACTTACTTATGCACTCAAACAGTGTAATAAACATATTTACAGACTGTGTGCTTTGTATTTACATTCTGTTCATTGCAAGTAATGATGCAAGATGACGATGGGAACATGCAGAACAAATGGTTAACAAGCAGGTCAGCAGAGAAAAAACACTGTTTCTGTAAATGATGTTCCTACAGACTGCTTTATCATTGTGCTTAGATTTATCCTTCCAGTATCAAGTTTTCAGTCAAAATGAGGGGAAAAAGGAGCAATTATGGAATAAAATAATAAAGCTAATAAATATCCCAGCTCAGTACAACATTCTTTAAGAAAAGAACTATATATATATATATATATATTGCATGTGGTATAGGAAAGGAATCTTGCCTTTATAAAAAATGTTATTACTATTCTCAAGTTGTTTTCAGCTATTGCCTGGAAAACATTTTACTTTGCAAATGTAAGTTTCATGTAAACAACAAAAGTTACTGAATAGATTTTAGTGAGGCTGTCGCAAACAAATCAAAAGAATGCACAATATGTAGCCATTAAACCAAGTCAAACCCAAGTGAAATCACTTCTTACTTGGTTTTTTGATGTGTTAAAATGGAATATGTGACTAAGTGTACGCAACAAACACTAGAGTAAGAGGGAAAGTTTGCAAATTTGTGCTTGGAAACATCATATACAGTGCGGCAGCAATGTGACACGAACAGGCCAAATTATGTCAGATTTGTGCAGTTTGTTACATGGCAACTGTTTCTCCTTAGTGTCTCCTGTCCTCACTATCTCTGGTTAACTTCAGATGTAGAGTTTACAGATCAAGGCTAGCCGCACTGAGTTTGCTGGTGCTTTTCAAAGGAAACAGTGTTTGCTGACTCAGCACTGCTTATACGCTCTCCGGCTAAGTTGCTCTGCTTTCTACTTCCTCTCTCTCCCTGTAACTCACACATAAACTAGGGGGTGCAGAGGCTGCACTGATGCTCGGAGGCTGGTGAGGTTTTTATAGGAACTCCTTTGTGCTCGATAACAACTAGAAACAAAAAATAAATAAGTGAATAAATTAGTTGGCGACACTGAATAGATGTTGAGGCATTGAAAAAAAAAAAGCTGTTAAATAGCTAATTTCTTGTGTAAATGGCATCATAAAAACAATCACATTTTTATTTTTTTGGCTAACATCAGTAAAAGCTACACCATTTTTTTAATGTTTTGATTTAAAATCTGCAATGGCGTAAACGGTGTCATCTTAGCAGCAGTTAAAGTCGGTCCAGTTGGAACAAATCTGAAGCACTTCTCGAGCATTTCCTCTGTTTTGCATCTCTCCTTTATCCTTTTTTTTTTTTCTTGGGGGAGGGGAGTGTATAATTTTCTAAACTGGTGCCTTAATGAAGAAAACGTTAAAAAAAAAAAATAAGAAAGAAAGAAAGAAAGAAAGAAAGAAAGAAAGAAAGAAAGAAAGAATGAAAGAAAATTAAAAAAAAAAAAAATCTTTAACCGAACTGCTTTCTTTCCAGGCGGTCTTCAGTCGTGTCCTTTTCTCTCAGAGTCTCTCAGATGTTACATATCGCATGTATGAATGTTACATATCGCATGTACGAATCTAAGAATGTACTATGTACAGTATATACAACATACGCGTATATATATGTATATGCAGTATATTCACATACATGTATGCATGGGAATGACCGTCCCGGTGAATGTGCAGGTGAAATATGGGTGCATGAAAGACAGAGAGAAGAGGGCAGGAGGCACCCAGGTGTGTGGGTGTGTGTTAGTGTGTGTGTCTAAACCTGCTTGTCTGGTCAACACACACATCTCTCATTCAAAGCGTTCGTAGTTCCTCGTCTGTCTGATACGAGGCACCATGTCCTTCAGGAGCCTGCAGGGACAGAAACAAGGGATTATAGGACAATAGGTAAAGGTGTAGAAATTGGACTCAGCCTGTTTAGGCACTTATCACCCAAGCTGATACAAAACAGCATGTGAATCTAACGTTGGTAGAATCTACAGTCATCCTCAAATTTATTCATACCCTTCCATTAAAGAAAAGACAAAATTCACAATAATCACTCAAATAACTAGAAACTGAAAAAAGTAATAATAAATGAAAATTTGCTCAATTACAATTTAGTGAAATAAGACATTGATTTTGAATTGTGGTTGAAAATAATTATTTCAAAAAAACAAAACAAAACAAAAAAATGTCCCTGACAAATTAGAGCACTTTGCTGATGAGCAGTCGGCCAAAATCAAAATGTGCAGATGCAGAAGTCTGATTGAGAGTTACAGAAAACTCATGATTGCAGTGATTGATTCAAAAGGTTGTTCAACAAATTGCTAGTTTAGAGGTCCCATCATGCTGTTTCCTTTTTTGTTTGTTTGTTTGTTTTAAAAAATATTTCTGTTGAACCATAATTCAAACGCAATGTCATGATTTTCATTACATTTTTATTTTTTATTACTTTTGTCAGTTTCAACTTAAAGTGACAGCTGTTTTTTTTTTTTCCTTCTTTAATGGGAGGGTACGAATACATTTGAGGACAACTGTAGATACTGCCGACTAGAAAAGGTGGAATATTTCATATCAGAGTCTGCTGTTGGTGTAGCTCTTACTTGACCCCATATGCCAAAATGATGAGTCCAATTAGAACCCCGATGGTGCCGTCCAGAAACCAGACATCTGGGTGGTGCTTGAAGACTTCAGCGCTGATCAGAATTGAGAATCCCATGATGGCTCCAACCATAGAGTTAAACCCTGGAAAACACCAGTACAACACCAATACAGGTCAATACAATGATGATGCTGACTTATTGTAACCATGATATTGATCTTTTCTAAATCTGTAATTAATTAGTTTAGGTTACCTAAGCTAATGGGAAATGTGAGACTGATAGTAACCCATTAACTAGATGGTAGTCTGAAAAATAGTGTATAGACTTAGACAGTAACATTTTTATCTGAGCACAGTGTCTATTGTATGGAATAGTTTGGCATTCTGATGAATATTATTTTTCATTTTGTTGCTGAGAATTTGATGAAAGGGTTGATGCCACTTTCATGCCTGTAAATATATAGCTACAGCTGTGGTCTCCTTAGTTTTGGAAATATATATACATATTGAAATAACAAAAACAGATAGGATGGCCATACTCTGTCACAATAATCTGTCAAAATCCACCTACTAGCAGCACAACTCATTTGCTAAATCTGTACAAACAGCGAAGTGTAAACTTTTGTTGTATTTTAGGCCTGTGCCACAGTGGAGTTCTACATTCAGCTTTAGAGGTGCTGTTAGATGAATGCTGTTGCAGCAAACCAGGTTAGCTATTTACCCCTGCAGTCTTTCTGAGAAGCTAAGCTAAGCAGCCGCTGTACAGACATGGCAGCAATGGTATTCATCCTCTTATAAACTCTTTTACAGTAATTATTTAGTCAGTTTTTGCATTTATTAGCATACACCTGAGATAGATGGGGAATGGTGTGCAGCAAAAATTAGCTGACCAGGAGCTAAACTGGGAATTTGAGACTAAGGGTCCATGTTTTGTGTCCCCTTACCACTCAGCCACTGGGTTGCCCCATCTGTAGCCCATATGTAGTAAGCAAATAAGTGTATATGCAAATATATATGAATATTCCTTTAAGTGTATAACTAATGTGGGTGGCAGATGAGACAGATTTTTGAATCATTTTGTCATTTTGAAACCCTCAAAGGCTCAAACAGTCTCCAGACTACATTACTGCTACATGTACTGTTTGAGTTACCCTGTACAGTGAATGTTTTTTTTCTTTTTCTTTTTCTTTTAATAATTACATTTCTCCTAGTGTGAAAGCTAGCACAGTGGGTTATTGTCTTGCCTGCAGTAAGTGCGTAGTCTTGTGGGAAATAAATCTAAGCTCAAAGAACAGCAACCTCAGGTTTATTGGATTGATGCCCTGTGCGTTCTGAGACCTGGGGATAGTGTGTGCAGTGTGTTTGTGAGATACAGTGTGTGTGTGTGCTGTGCGTTTGTCCAGCTGTGTGTGCGTGTGTGTGTGTGTGTGTGTGTGTGTGGGTGTGTGTGTGTAGGTGTGTGTGTGTGTGTGTGTGTGAGAACAGTAGGTCGTAGCCTACTACTGCTTTTCATCCAGGTATGTGAGGAACTTTCACGCACTGACACACATGCGCTCTGTCTTTGGATTCAGTTCCTTTCTAGTTTGCCAATTTTCATTTTTTGGAGTGCTATTATGATAACTCCAGTGTCTGGCACTTGTTTTTTTTCACTGTTTTAGAGTAAAATATTTCACTTTTAACTTAACTTCACTTCTCTGACATTTAGAGCTTCTAATTGCTTTCCTATTAGGGTGGTGAAAACTTTAAATGAGTATAGGAAATGTAATATACTGTTACACATTATGTTAAACTACTAACAATATATATCACCTCCTCCTGGGCCAGCTAAAACCCTGGAAAGCCTCTGATAACTTACTGCATCAGTTATTATGATGCAATATATATAATGTTATCACATGATACTGAAAGTGCATGTAAAAGAATGTAGGAAGAAGAAGAAAAAAAATTCAATCAGGTCTGTACATGTTAAAAAGCTGGTGTTGGTGGTGATTTAACACTTTTGTTGTAACCCTACAACTTATATAAATATACCATAATATGAAATTAAATGCTCATGTTTTTAAGCAATATTCTAGTTTCTTTTTGGCTGTTGTTTTTGTCTCTATACAATATCACACGATATTCCCCCTTTGCAAAATGCTTCTCTCCAGTGCAAGCAAATTAATTTTTAAGGCAATGCTTTAAAAATACAGTTGAAGTGAGACAGTTAATTCTGCCAACTTGTCACTATAAATCTGCAAGGAACAGTGTACAGGCAACACCTTGTTAAAAAACACAGATAATAAATCTGCACATGGCTAAAGAGCCATGCATGCGTGTGCGTGTGTATGTCTGTACCATCAGTGATAAGTGCCCGACTAGTCAGCACTCTTCCCAGCATGAACTTGGCCACAGCCAACACAGCACATGTGAACCCACTCACTATGGACACACTGAAGAGGAAGTCATCCTGGGGAGAGAGAATAAATGGGCTCAGGTCAATATCTGTGAAAAAAAAAAATTCAAATACACACACATAAGCATGTGTAAAGCACATGTGGGATGAAATAAATATAATGACGATAAACCCTGAAGGGAAAGCAAAAAATAATAATTTGGTACAAAACCACAGAACTGTAGCTGTAAAGTGGGCAATAAAAAGGCAGCAGATGCATTATCAGATAGACAGAATGACCCACAAAGCTTCTGTCAGCTCAACCACTTACTAATGTATACAGACTTGACTTGGTGCATCAACCCAAGGTCATGCAGATGATTCCTCCAAGTAATGTGAGGGCCTGGTGTGTATGTGTTTGTTGTTGGTTTTTAACTGAACTCTCAAACAGACTCATCAAAAACCAACGCTTGACCCCAGAGTATCAGGCTTTCACATTTAATTGGCCCGCAACGGGGAACGAAAGACAGAAACAAGAAGGAGAGAAGAAGAAAGACAGAAACTGGGACAGTGAAGGGCACATTTTGGGGGGGGGGGACACATGACACATCTCTATTCTTTTCTGTCAGACTTTCTACTCTACACTTTTGGCTGAGCTATTTCTAGCATGTGTGGATAATATTAAACCTCACACTTATCTAGCCAACCAGTGTGGATTGTTGTTAGACAACTGCCATAAATAAATGGGCACCTGATAGCTGAGTGGTTGGGTGAAAAAATGGTGAGAAATTTTCCAGAATCTAAGGTGCCTTCTTCCTCAAATATCCCATTTTGTCTGAAAGCAACTTTCTGTCCAAAAATATTCACTTTACTATCATATATAAAAATAAAATTATTCAAACTACAATATTGCATTCTTTTGTGGGTTTTTTTGTAGTGTTTTTTGCATTACTCAATTAACTGACTGATAGCGAAGTTTTAATGTAGTTTTGTTGCAGCTGTTTGTGTAGAGGACTGCAAGGTGGCTTGGTGGTAAGCACTGTTGCCTCACAGCAAGAAGGTCACCAGGATCTTTCTGTGTGGAGTTTGCATGTTCTCCCTGTGCAGTATGGATTCTCTCCGGGTTCTCCGGCTTCCTCCCACACATTCCAAAAACATGTTGAGGTTAATTGGTGATTCTAAATTGTCCATATTTTTGTCTTAAATGTTCTTGATTACTTACAACCCCCTCTGTCTGCATAAAAGTAGTGTTGGAACACACTGGGGTACCAAACCCTTATGAGCATTGTTTGAATAGTATTGTACTATACAGAAAGTAGTGTGTTGCTATAAAAATGGTGAGGAAAAGGCAATTAACAATGGAAGAGAGACAGACCATCATAACACTGAAAAATGTAAGTCTTTCCTACGGAAGATTGTGAAGAAAGTCAAGGTGTCAGTGAGTACAGTTTGCTTCACCATCAACTCAGAAACTGGGGGAAACTCTGACAGGAAGAGGTTTGGCAGACCCAAAGCCACAACAGAATCTGAGGACAAGTTTCTCAGAGTCAACAGCTTGCGTGATAGGCGGCTAACAGGGCAACACGTTCAAGCACAGCTTAATAGTGGTCATTGTAAGCAAGTCTCAGTTTCAACTGTGAAGAGAAGACTTTGAGCTGCAGGTTTGACAGGTTGAGTTGCAGCAAAACAGCGATTGCTAAGATGTCAGAATAGGAAAAAGAGGATTGCCTGGGCCATGAAACTACTGATGACTGGAAGAAGGCGTTATGAACTGATGAATCAAAATTTAAAATCTTTGGTTCATCATGCAGGATTTTTTTTATAAGCCATTGAGTAGGCGAAAGGATGGTTCCTCAGTGTGTGACATCAGCTGTCTAACATGGAGTAGGAAGTGTGATGGTCTGGGGCTGTTTTGCTGGATCCAGGGTTGGTGGCTTGTACAGAGTGAGAGGCACCCTGAACCAAAATTGACTACCACTGAACATGCAGTTCCCTCTGGTATGCACCGAGTTGGTCTGGGGTTTATCCTACAGCAAACCAGTGTCCCCAAACATAAGTCCAAGCTATGCCAGAACTGCCTTTATGAAAAAAGAACAAAATGATAAGCTTGAAAACATGGAGTGGCCACAGTCTCCAGACTTCCCATCAAGGTGATATGGGTTGAAGTGGACAGAAGAGTGTAAGCAAAGCAAGTGTCAGACGTTTGTGGGAACTTCTGCAACAGAGTTGGGAAGAACTTTCTAAAGAATATTTGATATCCATTGTAGAAAGAATGCCACGAGTGTGTTCAGCTGTTATATCTGCCAAAGGTAGCTACTTTGATGAGTCACACGTTTACAATATACTTTGGTTTATAAATTGATTCCATGATTTCTTTTTTAACTTCAGTTGTTTGTTTGTTCTATGCTTTCATTTCAGAGTACAATGAGACATTAAACTGCATAGATTTCAACAGAAAAATGGAAAAATTGGAATGTTCTAAAACTTTTGACCAGTAGTGTATATGTAAAATTTACACACTATGTAGTGTACTCAGAATTGTGACATCCCAGCAAATTAGTAAATACAGTACATGGCAAACTATATGGTACAAGGAATAGGGAGCGGATCTGGTTGCACTTTTGGTCTTTACACTTTGTGACACATGTACACTGTATTAAAGGTAAAGTATTGTGTCTTTTGTAGTAAGTGGCCTCAGTTGTTAGGCAGATAATCACTTGTTGACCTCTTGTTACTGCTGTTTGCTTGAAATAGACAAGAAGAGAAAGGTTGGCTACAGTTGTACACTTTTCCCACCAACTTTGGAAAGTTGACTACGCTGTAAGTTATAGTTAAATTTATTTACATATCATTTACTGACTTGTGATCAGTGTTTATCAGTTGTCAACTGTATTTTCTAGTATTTTCACAGTATTCTGGATAGTCTTTTTGTTCTTGATAAATACTACATGTTTTCCACAGGCTCTGAAAGGCAAGAGCGGGACCCTTTCATTTCTCTCCAATGGATTCTTTATTTAGACCCTTGTGCAATGGTCAAAGTCTGTGTAAAGTGTGAAAAATCAGTTTGTGCATCACTGCACTGTATGTATATGTTTGTTGCATGGCTATGTGCTGCACCCTCTCTCTCCCCTGCACAGAGGTACTAGGAGCCAATCTCACAGCTCTCTGTGTTTAATCAGGCACTAGACACAGACAGCCTGCCATGGGAGCCGCAACCCAGGACGTGACGCGAATCAGGATTCCTGATTTTCTGCACCCCCTGTCCACTCAGTATGATTTTACAGCCCAATACTTTAAGGTAGCAGCGCTTTACAGTACACACACTGGACTGCAACTGTCTTCAGGCCGCTTAATTTACATGCGAATGAAAAGATCACTTGAAAGAAGAAACCGGAGAACAAAGTTTAGACAATGACACCATCAATTTGAGGTATTCAGAGTGGAGATTCATCATCAACTTCAATTTCCTTTCATTTTACACTTCAAGCTTAGTGCCAAACACACCGTCCTGCAGACACGCACACAAACAGAGCGCATAAACAGATCACTTCTGGCATGATAAATCACCTCTGACTGCGGTTTGATGAAGACTTCAGTGAGCAAACATGTTTCTGCCAAATAAAAGCAGGAAGGTGGATACAAAGAAATGTAGGCTATAGGTATGACAAAAATGAGATCCTGAAAAATACAAAGCAGGGGAGATAGACATAGTAATGGAGGCAGACAGAGGGAAAAGATAGAGAAAAAGGTATAATACTGAAAGAGGGGCAAGGGAGCCAGTGAAACAGAAACAGAAAGAATGAGATAATGAATGAGGTAGCAAAGGGAGATAAACTGGATAAATGTGACAAAGATGACATCCTTCTGTCCTTCACAATCCTGCGTCTACAAATAGAGCCAAGGCAAAGTGCCAGTGACAGTTTTTTTTTTTTCCCCACATAAAAAAGACTGAGCCAGATGGCTGAAATCACTCTTAAATAAACTGATAATTAATTAGATGTAAGTTACATGGTAAGAATTATTCACCACAGGAAGCTGAATAGACCAGTCGGGCAAAGATTATCAGAGTACATGCATATATAGCTAAGCACAAGGTTTATATCCAGATAAAAGCAGTGAGTGAAAGAGATGGTATGAAGAAATGAAAGAGGTACTGAAGGAAAGAACCAGAGAATGTCAAAGAGACAGACAGTAGTAATAGGCTCTTGCTGGTGTCAGGAAGCTCCTCTGAGACCTAACACCCCCAGTTTCTATTAACATAATAGCACTGGAGCATCAAACAGAGTCTGAAGAATAGCAACTGGCCTCAGTCTGCTTCTCTGCTGGCTTCTTTTGGTTTTATCTCTTTTGATTTGTGGTCAGAGTGGCTTCAATGACTCAATTTTACACCATTAAATACTGCACTTAAAATTCTCAAGAAGATGCACACACTTGCTTTCTTTGTCAAGAACAGATGATTACAAACTCACATTTGAACTCACATAGCACACATTGATTCTTCCCCCAAATCCTAAACCCAAGTGGGTAAATGTCAACACTCTACCCTCTTTTTTACCCTTCACCATTTACATCTTAGTCTGCTGTTTCTCATTTGCTGAATTTAGTATCTAAACTCTTTAGATGTACTAATCAGCCATAACATTAAAACCATCTGCCTAATTCTGTGTTGGTTCCCCCTTATGCTGCCAAAATCCAGAGATCCGTCACATCCAGAACATTGACGATAAACCAACCAGACACAAAAATGTATGTTTACATTGTAACCTTGGTTTTCTGAGTGAAGTGATTATCTCTCTGCCCAGCTACATATTTCCTATGGAAGAATGACCCCCCTGTTTATCAGGGTACGTGGATACTTCTTTAAGACACATCGGCTTGCCCGGTCATGCCCCACAGGTTACCTATAAAGCACCTGTGCTGGCATGAATTCACTGTTAGTTTTGATCGAAACATGTCTCTGAGCAGCCAAAAGAGCTGGAGAGATAGTCTCTTCACTTAGAGAACTAAGGTTACAATGTATCATCTCAAGACTATCTCTTCACCCAGTTACATATTTCATATGTATGAGGTAACTC